AGAGAAGGGAAACCTCTGGATCCTTTTTCATTTTTAATTAGAACGTTCCACTGATCACAGAGGCAGCGGTCGTCTCATGACTGTTTTGAATTTGAATTTGTAAGACTAAAGGCTTTTCCTCTGTTATCATTCCTGTTTTGTTGCAGACAAGAAAGTCTTTTACCCTGTGGTGTTCAGTCTGTATAATCCTGCTATAGTCTATGGAAATATGGAGCTGGCTCCACCTATTGAACTCCAACTGGTAACACACTTTATATTTTATTTTTTACTTCCACATTGACTTTAATATCAGCAGATGTTTTAGGTGCTGACTTGAGTATTATGATGGTAAATAATTCATTTGTTGTGAAATAGATTCACAAAAAAGACGCTGGATTCTGGAGGGACTTTGGATTTGGGATGACGTGTCAGTATCGCTCAGACTTTCTCAACATCGGTAAGAGCTGGTTTAAAGTTTGAACAAAATTAAAACCATATTATTAAAAAAATGCTTCTATGGTCTGAAAAACCCTGCGTGTCCTAATCACACAGGAGGGTTTGATTTGGACGTGAAAGGCTGGGGTGTAGAAGATGTCCACCTGTACAGGAAGTACCTCCGGAGCGAACTGATTGTGATCCGGACGCCAGTGTCGGACCTCTTCCATATGTGGCATGAGAAACAGTGCGCAGACGAGCTGACGCCGGAGCAGTACCGCATGTGCATTCAGTCCAAAGCCATGAACGAGGCCTCGCACTCTCACCTGGGTATGCTGGTTTTCCGCGAGGAGATCGAGGCTCATCTACGGAAACAGGCCTTCAAGACTCAGAGCAAAACAGAAGACTGAGCAGAACCTCTGGTTCAGGTCCAGCCTCATGTATCTGACAATGTGAACGTATTTCCAGCCAAGAAGTGTTTACAAGGATCCTTCAGCATTTCACCGCACACTGGCAGAAGAATGTAGAGGAGCGTCGAGCGATCAGCGTCAAACTTCAGCTTTAAACAAACGGTACCGCTCTCAGCAGTTCCATGGTCACATCAGACATGATGAGGTTTTGACCTGCTGCAGGAAACTCTTACATTACGGTATGTAACACAAACTGAGGTCTGTGCTTTTTTTTTAATTTTTTTTTTAATCAAACCGTCCACCTGCTGAAAACACAGCTGACCTGTGGTCGTGTCCTCTGCTTAAACATCATCTCTGCTGCTGATTGGTGTGTGACATCAGCCTCCAGGTCCTTCAGGTCTCCTTCAGGTAAAAAGTCTGTTTTTAAAAGACGTCAAATGTTGTCAGTGAGACAAAGCAGTATTTCACAATGTTAACATTTGAATGTAAGAACATATCTGACAGAAGGAAGAGTATGATGTTGCTTAGAGTTGCATTTAATTTTTTTTTTAGATTTTATCTGAGAATTTTCTTCTATTTAGTTGGTTTTTTTTTTATTTTGTCATTTATCATGTCATAGACATTCAGTTTTCTATTGTAGAGTAGTAGTAACCAACACCCCGAAAATACAAGGTATTCATAAAAATAACATTTCCTCTGGTTAAGTCTAACCAATTCCTCAGAATTCCAGTCATAGTGACTCAAATCAAGTCCTTTTTTTTAATGTTCTTTAAGTTTGGGAATAAGAAGGAATTGATGGTTGGATACTGGAAGTATGATGTTTGCTCTGATTTAAAAACTGTTCAGTTTTTGAGTTTTCAATGAGTAAAACATTACACATTGATAAAGATAATAATTTAATGTGTCAGAGCTGTTAGAGTCGAGACGGGTGTGGTCTCAAACTCAAACCTTTAAAAAGAACTATAACATCTTTCCTAGAATTTTCTGACTTAACCTCCTTTTTACTTATAAAACAAGTTTTATTTATTGAAACATTCTGAAAATGTCAACTAGTGAACTGAAGTAGTCAGTCTGTGAATTATCATCAATGTTGTCCAGTTCTAAACTGCAGGTTGGTTCTTGATGGAAAACTTTTTTTCCCAGCAGTCAGAGCGTTAGGCAGATTCATTTAAATACGGGCAGTTTTTTCTTCAGAGCCTCATCGCTCAGTTTGTGTTTAATAAACTGTAAATAAACAGCGTGTACAGAGGGTTTTCAGATTAGACGGCAGAAAAAAAAGACAACTTCACAGCCCACATCTTTTTTTTTCCGGTTGAAAACACGTCATCAGTTGATCAAATATGCATGTTGTTGAGCAGCCACAAACAGAGATCCGCTGTGAGCATGCAGTGCTCAAATTTCAGGACTCAGTTTCTGTCCTGTGTTTCAAATACTGGACTGAGATTGAATGTTACAGCCATCCTTGTAACTCGTTTTTACTGCAGTATTCCTTCAGTTCCATGACTTGAAGAGTCATATGTGCCTACATATTTCCTGTGATGCGTGCTATGAAGCCATGTTGACTGCTGTGGGCTCGCTAACAGGGAAATTTAGTCATTTTTAATCATTTAGTTTTGTTGAACAACAGTAAAGAATCATCTGGATGTTAGGTGTGTGTTCTTTGAGCTGTAGATCGTATGGACTTTACCAAAGGGAAACTGTCTTATAAACGGGTCTAACTTTTGACCCTTTATCAGTGGTCACCATGGCAGTAGTCCAGCTAGGGATTGGACAACTTTGTGTTTGCAAACTAGAACAAGTATGACAGGTTGTTCTGTGTTAGACAGAATATTCTTGTCTCCCTAATGAAAGCATTCCAAGACCTTGAAAAAAGTTGAGAAAAAAAACTAAAATTCTCATTTCATTCCATGTCACTGTGGGGATGTTGACTAACATGTTGAGGTACATCTATCAAGACGTCAGAGGTGCTTCATTATTTTCAGTTGGAAGGCAGGTGTTTCTCACATTCCATCCTGTTGTGTTTTATCAGTTTTAGTTGCTAGAATTTGAGTTTAGTGCAGGAGAAATGTTACACGTCTTCCTCTCAGCTGTAGAAAACATTTCAAACAGAACAGATGTTTGCTGGGAAATGATTTATTTTAACATTCTGTCCATAAAATAAAACACACAGAAAGCTGCATCATGTGCTGCTTGTCATTTTTGCTGTTGGCATTGATTCATATGTTCAGTAAACTTGACACGGTCTATAATTTATACTATAAAATGTGTTATCAAACTGGTCGAGTGTCTTTCAACCAACTACCATATTTGTATGTTTCTTAATTTAAGACAAATGGCATAATACCACTGTATTATTCATCTGTATACAATAAACTACAACAAGGGTAAATAAAAGGGAAATAGAAAAAAGAAAAAAAATAGAAAGCTAACATGATATAAACTTAAAGGAAATACTTCTCATCTGTGGAATACTCTGGATGATTAATGTACTAAGTGTTCGGGGTGGACGCCCATGTTTTTGTAGATCTCCTTCAGAATGAGCAGAGCCGTGTCTTCAGATTGCCTGGAAAATAAGATGTGCTCATTTAGAATCTGCACGGATGTGAGTAGATTCTAGAGAAATAGCTGTTAAAAAATAGACAATTTAGATGATTATGTCAGTAGTTAGTAATTAGACCTGCAGCCACGTAGGCGTGGGCGACAGCGTGACACCATTTGTGATGTGGAAACCATATGTGCTGACAGTAAGTGTAATACTGAATTCAAAAACCTTGTGTCATTTACACTGTAAACAGAAAACATTTCGTACCAGTAGCAGAGATGACTCTGGAGGGCGAACAGATACTCGTTGAAACTCTCAATAGGCTTCTCCTGCAGAACGTAGTCGATGCGATTCCCTCCGTTCAACAACCCCATCTTCACCTCGGGCTCCTCCTCTCTCTGTGGCTCTGGGCTCTCTGGGATCCTATGGTCTGCTCCAGATCGAGTGGGGTTATTAATTTCCTGCACTGTTGGAATAATTTATATGTTGGAGTCGAACAGATGGAGAAACTCACCCTCTTCAACTTGCTTCTCCTGCTCTTCGATCTGATTGGCCACGATGGCCAGCTCGGCCTGGAGTTGGGCAGACGAGGTGTGAGCGCGGGCAAAGTCGTTGAGCGTCTGCCAGGCACTCCTAAGGGAGCTGATGAAACCTTGCTTCAGGTCTGAGCCCATCTTAGAGAGACTCTCCTTCAGTTCTGAAACACAGATTTAACACTTCACACATCTGTGTAGAAAAAACTCCTTGTTAATCCTTTGTCTTATGGACATTTGCAAAGACAAACATAAATGACTTAATCTAGTGTGTAAGGAAGAAATGGACTTGTGTTTTGACACTATGTGAATGAAGGTGCTTCCCTGAAAACTGACAGGACACAACCAAACTTCAAACAGGCTGAACTACCTTTTATGTCTGACTTTAACTCCTGTGCAGCTTGTGAAGATGATCATTAGGGAGAAATACTAACCAAGGTGTAGCCTCTTCCTTCCTTTGTGATGAGGGACCAGCACAGGCTTCAAGTCCAAGTCTGGATAAATCATGGGTTCAATCCTGTACGCTACTGGGTCCAACTAGAAGAAACGTTAGAAAAGTTAATTATATGAGAATGTAGCATAGAGTGACTCAACTACACGCTTCATCTGACCACAATATTAGTTACATCTTTCAAAAATGGTTTCACAAGAGTATTCATTTACACAGCAGACTTAAGAACATATGCTAATTATAATACTGAATTCCTTTTTGAATTCCTCATCCTAGATGTGGTTTCTAAACAATCAATCCATCTCCAGAGGAAGATTCTTCTGCTTGGCTGACGTCAGACTCACCATTAGTTTATTTTCTGCCACTCCCTTGGCTGTGTACATTTTCAAATCTAATGTTTAACTTCTACAGTTGGGCTTTTTAGTTTTGGGTCGTTTTTTAAATTGTGTCTTTTTGTCTTATTAAATCATTTCAGTGGCGCAGCAGCGACGTTCAGTTGTCACGAGTGTAGACAGTGCCCTCTTGTGGTCATACAAAATATGGCGTGTATATGTACTGACACTGTGTGTCAGTGAACAATTATGTTCGACAAAAGTCAGCTTGAAGTTGGTATGTCTGGTTTTGTGGAGGTATTTTGTGCTCGACACAAACCTGTCAGAGCTAACGACCTCTCATTAGACAGTAATATTTAACAGTTTTAGTTAATTTTTCAGTAGTCCTTCTTACTGGATGGTAAATATTGAAGAATCCCTTGCACGTGGGCAGGTGGTACGTTTCCTCAATCTTCTCCAATCCTCGGACTGTCAGGAACATCCCGATGGGAGAACCCAGAGCAAAGAAATTCTCAAGATCAAAGTCTAGAGCGTGGTAAACCACTGACACCTGGAGAACAAAACATATATACACGTATATGTTTGGATGTAAATCAGAAAAACTACAACTATTTCAAAATGGTCACTGAACATGTCAAATCATTGTCACCTGCCCGGTGCCAACTTCAAAGTAGTTGTAGTCCACGTGGATGGAGGACATGGTGCGACCCACAGGACGCTTCTGTACAGTGTGATCAGGAAGAGCTTCAGCAGCTGGTGCTGGTGCAGCAGCCTGGCTGACCTCTTTGACCTCTGCCTTCTTCTCCTGAGCTGCCTGACGTGCTGCCTGCAGAAATTAAGAGCAAGACAAAGGAGTGTTAGTTGGTACCACTTTCTTACTACAGGTGTCCCAGCCCAACATTGGTGGTAGGATCTCAACCAGACTGTTATATCAGCATTTTGGAGATGTCCATTTTTGGGAAGGATGTTGAAGTAACAAGTCTGAGCAACAACTTACCTGCTTATTCAATTTCTCCTTGACAAATTTGACGATCTTTTTTCTGGGACCGAGTGGGATTCCCATCTCCTTCAAATCTTCCATTGTGCACATGAGCTAAAATTAGAATAGGAAGAATATTATTACACAACAAACAAAAACACATCGATTCAGAGTTGTTGTTTGTTTGTTTGTTTTTAATCACAAGAAAAGCTGGTTTTCATTCTTACAAAAGACTCATTGTCGATCTTCTCCTCATCAAATATACTCTTGTAGTCAGACAGGCCCAGGTTCTCCAGCATGGTAGAAAGATCTTCAAGTTCCTCTTCATCTTCTTTGTTTTCCTCTTCTACAGCTGCAGGAGCAGCTACATTACTGTCCTGTGTTACAGGAGCTGACACCTAAAAATATTACATCATATATTAGGCACACACTGTCTGCATAACATTGTTCTTATCTGATGAATTCCATGAACTAACCTGACTGGTCTCTCCATTAGACATCTGAGCAGCAGGCAGAAGAGAGCCATCCTTCTGATTTGAAAGCAGGTCAAAGAGAATCAGGGAACCTGTTTAAGGTAATGAAGCATTCAACATATGTTAGAACATCAAACAGAGGAAAACAAAGTGACAAAGCTACTGAAGTGATTCTGTACCTAAACTGTGTCCAGCCACAGATATTTTTCCTTTGTAATCGGGGTTCCTCATCATGAAGAGGGCGTAAAGTCTGTTAATCTCCTGGGCAACTGTGTCCATGATGGTCTGACAGTAGGTGGGACTGTTGTAAAAAAGGACATCTAACAACGTCTCATTGGTAAAGTGACGTAAACGGCCAGTGCTGGGCAGAGTGATTTTCTTTATCCTCCTGCAAAAAAGAAAAAAGACTGGATTAAAAAACCAGTAACATAAAACAATGTGACAAAAGCAGGTCAAGTCAGAGCTTGACCTGCAGTTGGCCACCTAGTGGTCAACTGCTTCCTGGAATTATGTGTACATTTTACAGTCCCTGTAGTCTGTGAGATCTTGTATTCAAAAACATAGACGTTGACTCTTGTAAACCCTGTGTCCTCACCTGTCAACTCCAGTGGCATCTCCGTGTAGAGACTTGTACCACTGCACAGGAAGAAATTCCACCCTGCTGATGGCATGTTCATCCAGTGAATTCTTAAAGTGACTGTGCAGCAGCTTCAGTGACACATTCCGGAAGTCGTCCACTGAAAAACACCGGGATGTAAGTAGCTCGTTTCTGATATGACATCACCATAAAGGTGTACACAAGTACTGGCAGAGGAGTTTCTCCAGTTGGACTCACCGCACTCCACCATGCTCCGAAACCTAAGGTCACACACGGGACCAATTCCATGGACCATGAACACAAGATGATCCACTGTTGCAAGTTCACCTTGAACAGATGCACAATTGGTTGGTTAAAGTTTAATTTCATTTAATGACGCCATAAAAAGACACAGAGGTTAAAGAAACAAGATGTTTTTCTACCATCAGGGACATCGTCGTGCTCATCGTCTATGCCTCTCTTCACTACCCTGGGCCTGGTCTGCCCATCCTGAGTTGTGCCCCATTCATCAGGTATGGAGGAGGGCTGGAACTGCACAATCACCTACAGAGGCCATGGAATACTTCAGCGATGATGTAATACATCTTAAAGGTAATCCATTAAAAGAAAAAAAAGTATTGAGCAATTAACAGAAAAGGGATGACCTTTGGATTATGCATAACGATGGTTTCTCCTGATGGAAACTCCAGTCTACGGTGCCACTGGTTGGTAGACACAGCTTTCTTATATTCTGCCTGTTTGGAGACATTAACACAGTAACAATGATTTACATTATAAAGCCTTGTGTTAGATCTATGTAAGTGGCTATCATTGTTATTAGTGACACAAACCTCAAGCTTGTCACTGAACTCTTCTGAATAAGGAATAAAGCGACTGTCTGAGTCCCCTTTGTAGAACCAGGAGCAACGTCGGACCTCCGTGGCCTCTTCTTCCCAGTACACTGCAGTCCTCATGCGGTCATAGAGCTGCACATCATAGCGTCCTCCATCTGTTCGCACAATCACATTCTCTGGATCTGGTTGAACTGTAAGAGAGAAGGGTCAATATAAAAACTGACAAGAGCAGTAGAAACATAGGATGGTTTAAAAAATAATAATGTGATTTATTCATTGGGTCTAACCCTCAAAGAAATTATGAGCTCTGCTTCAGAATACGATCATACCTGAGTTAAATGTCTCCTCCAACTGGAGGGAGTCGATTATGCTAAAAGGAAGCCAGACACTCTTTGACTCCACTTGCTTACAGAAGAACCAGTGAGGCTGGACTGCTTCATATACATTATAATTGTATGACATCATGGGTCCTGTTGGCACAATCACTCCAGGGTTAGCTTGAGGTGGAGGTGTTGCGAACTGTGTGGGAGGAGGCTAAAAAGAAAAAAAGGTCTATGTTTAAGACATTTATCACATACATCAATAAGAGCGTCCAGAGCAGCTCTTGATTAAATTTGGTACCTTCGTAAATGTAGATCCTGGAGACGGGAAAGTCGACGGCGGAGAACTGAATGAGTAGGGATTCTGCTGAGGTGTGTGTGTTGGTGGCAGGATCTCTGGAGCTGGAATATAAGGATTGACTCTACTGCTGGCTGGGGTGTGTCGGTACGGGTTATGGCTGTGTGTGCTCATCTGAGGAGGTGGTGGTGTCATTAAGGAGGTAGGGGGAGCAAAGGGAGGAGGGGGAGTGTGGCGTCCCATAGGGCTCTGGTAAACAGCATTGCCAAACACAGGAGCGGTGGGGTTAATCTGGGGACCTGGAGGTGGTGGTGGACCAATCGGCACACTACTGGGAACAGAAACTGGGCCTGATGTCGTTGGCGGTCCTGTTGACAGGGACGGTGGAGGGAATGACGACTGACCGATGGATGCAAATGGATCACTGGTGGCTACAGGACTGGAGAAATAGTTAAAGGTCGAAGTTGCAGGTCCATTTCCAGAGGTCTGGCCAAGGAAGCTGTCTTCTTCTCCTACATCAGTAGAATCTTCTAAAAAAAAAGTAAAAATGTTTATCTATGAGTTTAAGTTGATGTGAACAATTAAACCGATCTTCATTTTCATTGTACATTGAGATTATAAAACCAAAACTTTACAGACATGACAGTGACAGACTGAAAGGAGGACATAGAAGTTGATGAAATACAAATGTTTTGAAGAGTTTACTTCCATGCAGCTGTGCAATCAAGACTGACAGTCTGCCATGTCGAGCACTGAACCTAACAAGCAGTTGCTGCACCTAACCAGTCTGTCAAACTACTGTCAGCTCAAAAACTCATTGTTTCTCTCTTGTCCTATTTCAGCGACAGCGTAGAAAGTCTGTTGACTGGTTAGCCTAGCCTGCTGACATAGCTCAATGTTTGCACATTTTTGCCATAGTTTCTTTTTTCAGCCTACCTCCTGACAACACCGCAGGACCGGAAGCCTGGCTCACTGGCATGAAAGGCAGATTAAAGTTAAATTCCGGAGCGGCGCTGAACAGTAGATTAGCCCCGGTGGTGGGAACGTTATTGTTTTTTCTATCTGCCATCTTCCACTAAAATTACACGTAGCCACTACCGGAGAAAACAGGCAGTGGACGGGCAGCTCTCCACCAACAGCAAACATACGGGTCCCACTGATCCCTAAATGACAAACAGCGGTGACTGAGTACCGATCACAATAACAAAGTAGCGCGGCATATAGTTTATAGATCTACTAAAGTCAGGCCGTCAACTACTGCAATTCAACTTCCTCCTCAACGTGTTTCCGGTAAAGTTGTTTGCTTATGGTCGAACTGGTGCCCTCTACTGTCAGTAAATGAAACAATTTACTTATTTTTATTGAGTGCAGCATAAGGCACATTAGTCCGTAATTGAAAAAAAATATCTACACCAGTAAATTGATGATTCGCTGCGACAACACCTGAAAAAGGGACAACGCCGAAAGGAAAAGAAGTATGTGTTCTTGGAGAACACATTGATAAATAAATATGTTTGTGTGTGTTATGTAAAATATTGTTAGGTTTGTTGTGAAGATAGCGTGTTCAAAACGTTGTTAAAAAAGCATTTCTTGTAAATATGCAAATATGTAGTCAAAGTCCATTGGTCAGAAATTAAGATTAGTTTGTTGCATTTTGTTTTGAAAAGTGTGCCATGTTGGTCCTATAGCATTACACAATAAGGAAACCTGTTTACTTTCTTCTTGATTATCAAAATGGGGGAGTCAAACCACAAAAAAGCCAATTGTTTTTACTTTCAATTTACATTTATAAAACGAGCTATCGTAACTCCGTCTTCCGGTCGGTTTCTGTGAGTAAAACAAACCAACTCCACTCATGAAGTAGTGACGCAAGTTTCCCGCCCTCACTTCTGCAGCCCTAGTCCTGTACGTGTGCAGAAAGAAAGTCAACAAACAGGGGAGTTTTGTATACTGTACTGTTTTATACATTTGTTACTTTATTCATCAAGGAATTGTTGGTTTACGATGCCTTCCACACACGACTGGATTGACAGCCCGTTGGTTGTTATCGAGGATATGTTTGGTAAGAGACACCGGAACTTCGCTCAGTGACAGCGAGACGCCGACGCGTGAAGAGATTTGCTAACATGCTAACTGCCGCACTAAAAGTAAAATGCAGAAGATACAATAGGTCTAGACAGATAATGATGCTCAAATGCTACTTGTCAGACACGTCGTTGCAACATAATAGCGGGTTTGTGCAGTTTAGGGTGGCATTTGTGTGCGAACCTCATCCATGGTGATCATGAAGATGCGTTCAGGGAGCCGTTAAAAAGTTCTCGACTCCAGTTTAATCTACACGTGTTGTACAGAGCACTAAAACGCTAAATATATCAAAGATAAAGAAATACTATCAAAGCTACTAACTGACAACGGAAAATTACTTACGGGCCAGAAAAAAAGGTTAAAGTCTACATTTCCCTTCATGTAGTGTTATTTACCTTCCTTTGTTTTGTTACACAAACGGATTTTATACCTGATTGTTGTCACTGTAGAAAGTAAGCTTGAACAAACTGTTATGAGGTGTGCCTACTTTGACCAAACAAAGTAGACCTTAAGTTATAACATTTACTTTATTTACATTTTTATCAGCCCCACTATGAGACACCTACTATGGACAATGTGATGCTTTTAGTTACTACAACATAAATCATCCCTGGGGTCTCCTCATCCTCCTCCTTGTGCCTGCCAGTTCTATCTCCAGTGCCTCCAGTTTTCTGTTCATGAGTCCATACACTGACAATAAATATTCCATTTCTTGTTTGCTGATGCAAAATATTTGAATTTTTTTTTCTTTCACTCCATTTGCTTCATCCATTCCTGCATCTTTACCTTTCCATTTGTCTATACGCAGATCTCCAATGTACTTTTGGTTTCATGTAATAGATGTTGTGCAAGACCAGATTATTTTTTGTTGTTTCAGCTGCTTCTCAGAATAGTCCAAACTCTGGATGGGAGGCCAAAGCAGTTGAGTTCTTCAAAGAGCGTCTGAAAGAGAAGGACGCTCACACTTGGGTAATGCACCAGAGAGAGATATACACACACATATATTTACTTCTTTTTTTACACCAATTCCTAATAATTTATTTGATCAGCTACCTGCTCAATGACAATAAAGAATCTTGAACCACACTCTCTCACAGGCAGTTTGTTCTGTCGCAGGTTCCTTCTCTGAATGACGTTCCTCTGCACTACCTGAAACCCAACAGTCTGGTCAAGTTCCGCTGTTTAATCCAAGACATGTTTGATCCGGAGTTCTACATGGGAGTTTACGAGACAGTTGATTCGTCAACAAAGGCTAAAGTATTTAGGAGTATTTATGAGTATTTTTTAATTTGTGTATATTTAATAATATGCTGTTATTTTGACATCTCTTCATTCTTCTGTCTCAGACGCTGCGTTGTGGAAAGTACAAAGATGTGACTGAATGTGGGGTATGTACACTACAGAAAGCGTCCATAAAAATGTCAACATACGTTACACTAACACTTGCAACTCTTTCAGGTGGATTTTAGTTCCACAAACACTGTGACTGCAGAGAGGCAGACCTTCTACTGTGTGCCAATCCCTGGAGAAAACTCCTGGGTGAAAGACATATCCTTATAATTCATGGTGCCAGTGATGTTATGTGATATGTGCTCTGAGTGATTGGCTTCATGTGGTTAGTGTTTTTGCTCTCCCTATTTGTTTTCCTTAACTCTTTCACACAGCTTTGCTGCCTCCAGTCAGGCCAGAGTGATTCCTTCCACCTCGTACGTGCCGAGCAGACAGAAACGAAGCTACGAAGAGGACGAGGAGATGGACGACATGGACGCACAACCACAAAAACAGAGAGAACCCCAAAGTGGTACGTGGGACATTGCAGTGAGTGATGTGAGAAAACACATCAATATATATATATCTTTTATTTTTTAGTTCCGTTAAATGTCCAGTCAGTTGTGAGAAAACATAACTTCTCCTCTCTCTCTTCAAATCACGAAACCAACGTTTAGTTTTGTGTCTGGTTGTAGACAAATTCTTGTGCTTTTTATTGTATTTCTTAGAGCATATTTGTAACCAGAAAAAAACACCACCATGTTGGACTGTTTCTGTGTGTCACAATTAATTAATTAATGCAACAGACCAATAGAGTTTATAAGCTAGATGAAGAGATGTGATATCAACTGTTGTTGTGGTCAGAGAGTTTTGTGGCAGGCTCCCTGTGTAAGTCGTTGTCTAAGGAAACGCCAAGGTCCTAACTGGATCTTTGTTTTGTCAGCAGGTCCACAAAGTCCTTCAGAACATCTGGGCAATAATGACTCCAAACGTCTAGAAACTGAAGCTCCATCTGGTTCTACAGTGTCATCCTCTCACATCAACCTCAACTTTCCGCTACCTGGAGAGAAAGGTCCTTCCTGCTTAGTTAAGGTGTGTGTGTGTTCATTTTCATCATTTATAGGTGTGTGCTTAAATGTTTCCCTTAAAATCAAACCTTAATTTACTGATTTCTAAGACGATGACAACACTGTCAGAGCTACACAGTGTGGGGACGACGATAAAAGTGAATGTTGTTTGCAGGTATATGAAAATTGGGACTGCTTCAAACTGAACGACACACTGGAGGTCTATGGGATCCTGTCAGTCAGTCCAGCCCTCAGTGCACTGGCTGATGAAAAGTAAGACTTGTGATTTTGTTTATTTCCTTTTTTATACTCAGTACTGAATTAATAGAGTAATAAATTACTCTATCTACTACCATCAGTGAAGTCCTCCAGTTGCCTGGGCTGCACTTTTTTGTACCTGTAGAGCATGTTTTCAGTGCTTGCTCAAAATCCCAGTCGTACCAGGACAGGGGTTCAAACCAGCAATCCCCACGTGTCACAAGCCCATGTGATCATTAATGGATAAGACTTGTACCCCAGCCAGCAGAGTACTAGCCTGCAACTATAACCTGCTCGGTCGGTAGATCCGTCCAGTTCTTGTTTCCAGTCCATGGTCATGTTCTGTGCCCGTGTCCACACAGAGAAGCATCGTCAGGTGTCCTGGACCCCACAGAGAGCATGGAGACGGCTGAGGAGCAGAGAGTCCACAGTCCACCGGCTTCACTCGTCCCTCGTCTACACATGCTGTATGCCGCACCACTGCAACACAACAACCCCCTGCTGCCCGTCATCTCCTCAGCAGACGACAGTGCCTGTAAGGACTACGACTTACACAGTCACAGTGTGTTCAAATCGTCGGGTTATTGTTATAGTCACATCTCTTTGCCCTGCAGCTCTTTGAGGGAACAGAAAGAAAGCAAGGCCTTTTGTTGTATGTTTTTAAAGCTGTCACTGAAAAGAATAATTGCAGCCAATGTTTTTCTCCCCGGAGCACTCAGACACTGCCTGGAGTTACTGGAATGTGACATTTTCTAACTCTTTGTCCCCCCCCCCCTCAGTTTTATCCTCGTCTCTGGGTGAGATGGCCTCTGTTAGAGCAGAGCTACTCTCATACTTTACCCACGTGCTCCTGGGAGATGCCCTGTCGGCTGAGTACCTCATTCTGCACCTCATTTCTACTGTGTATGTGTCAGAAGCCAACTCTCCTCACTTTGGTTTGTAGCGTCATGTCAAAGTAGATGGGTTACTGTAGTGCTACAGTGTACAATGTCTCCACAGATACTCTAGGAGAGATGTTCTTCCCCTGGGGAAATTTACCCTGAATCTCAGTGGATGTCCAACAGTCTCCTCATACACTGAGCGCCTGTACCAGATCATTCAGCAGCTCGTTCCCTCTGTGAGTGTTTTGACGCTTATTTGAGGTCAATTTCCCAACAATGCCACAGTGATTTTTCTGAAGTTAAGTGTTTTCATCCCCCTGCAGTCGTACTACCTGGGCATGAGCCTCCAGAACATGAACCACATGCAGCTGGTGCCTAAGAAGGACTATGTGGCCAATAGGCTAGTGAGTGGAGCCCTGCAGCTGGCTAAAAACACTTCACTCTTCCTGGATGAAACCAAGCTGGAGCAGGGACAGCTGGACACAACAGGTGACTCCTGTTGACCTAAAAAAAACAACACTGAGAGAACAAAACCTTGTAATTTTTATTACAAAATATTTATTGGTAAAAAAAAAAAAAGGATAGACCCAATTGACAATTGACAGTGTTGCAGCATGAAGGACGTACAGCTTCACACGAAGAAAACAAAAAGATAAAGTGAGGTGGGAGAATTTACAGGAAAAACTTATTCAACTCTTGTTAGAAAGACTGATTATGATAAGTGTTAAATCTAAGGTGTAAAAGTCAATCTGCAGCGCTTGAGTTGCAATACTGCCACCTACTGGATTATTTTCTACTTGAAGATAGACAGCGGGTTGGTTCACATTATAACACAACTTAGCCTTATGTTGCAAAGTACAAATATAAGAATGTTATACTAAATTCCTTTAAAATAATACAGGATATAAACGTCTACAACTCTGTGCTCTCTGAACACTCAGAGTTATCAGGTGACTTCTTGGTTGATAACACATAGTTACTATGACAACAGTAAAAGAATACGGTATTAAGGAAGCCTATAATTCTGGACAGTGTGTTTGTTTTAACAGCTGTTTGACTGTTAACACAGTTCCTGTCAGCAAACATGCAGCAGCTCTAACCACATCGCCTCTGCGTGTCACTGTTTGTTTGTCCTGTAGGTGTGCGTAACGTCACAGCCCTGGGGAACCTGATCTCGTGGCAGAAGGTTGATTATGACTTTAGCTACCACCAGATGGAATTCCCCTGCAATATTAACGTGCTCATCGTGTCAGAGGCCCGATCACTGCTGCCGGTGAGGACAGAGAGACGAGGAGTAAAACCACAGGGCAAATACTCACCACCGCCCACTACTGTGTCCATGAAAAAATACACCCAAAAAAAAAAACAACACCCATATCAGTCTACTACATTAGCTCTCCAGTGTGGCTGGAGGGTGGGGCAGGAAGAGTTTAGGTTTCTTGCAGCCTAACCTGAGACCAGGTCGTGTCAAACACCGGAGGTCATTTCCAGCCAGCGTCACGCTGTCGTCTGCGCTGCCATTGGCTGGCCACACTAACCCTCCTGGCGGCACCTTCATCCCCAAGTGTCACACTGTTGTGAACAGACCCCCGGAATGTGATGTGTGCTATTCCTGTGTGTTGGGCTAATGGGTTGCTATGGCTGCAGCTGTGAGCTGCTCAGCAGCAGCAGCAGCAATCCTGGGAGAGTCCTCAGCCTGGGTCATCTATCAGCCCAGCAGTGCACATTTAAGCAATGCCAGGGTTTATCACAAGTCATGGCTGTGTTAACATGGAACAAATGTTGGCTCGGGAGAAAAGAGAGTCATTGAACTGATGCTTTTTGTTTGATTAAGACTAGAATGTTGTGAAGTTGTGGCCCGTGCCTTAGAGCAAGGTCACTGGTTTAATCCCTAGTTTTTCTGTTAAGTGTTTGCATGTCCTCCCTGTCTTCTTTTACCATTTATTCAAGAAAAGCTGTAAGGTCCACAAGCTGTTCAGAATGCTGTCTAGCTCACATAATGACACATCTAAGACAGATTGACTGGTTACTCAGACCCACAGGCTGTCATAAACTGGATTTGTGTGCAGAGTTTTTGATACAGGTGACTCATTTAATTCAGGTCTAAAGCTCACTGTAATGAATCAAAATGTATTATTTTTGTCCCCACAGTCAGATTGTCAGGTGCATGTACACTCTCAAGTTGTTCCCTCTGACATGGAGGAGTATCTCGGCAGCATCCACATACATTCACAAGCCTTTTCGCAGCTCAACAAGCTCAGAATCTACCTGAGCGTGGCCCGGCTGCTGGACTACAGCATCTCTGAGGAACTGACAAAGGTGAGATGTACTGCCGCCGCCGCTGCTGTAAAAACCTAATCCCACTCACTTGTATTCCAGTTCAGTTCCCTGAGGCTGTTTAGTGACTGTTCTTCTCTGTTGTCTTCAGGCAGTCGAGGACGACTTTGTAGACATGAGGAAGGACGACCCCCAGAGCATATCTGCTGAGGACCTTCACCGGTTGCTGGTTGTGGCCAGGTGAGCGGACATGTCTTTAAGTAGTTCAGTGAGAAGGGTTGCTACTAAGAAGTGTTGCAAATATAAGATGCTGACAACAGTGGGAAGACCAACTTTGACAACACCATGTATGTAGAGCCTGTAACCACAGTGAGAAAAATGAGGTGCAGTTTATAAACTTGTATATAATAAAAGACCGAGTCTAGATTCCGGTTTGCTTAAAAAGCTAAAACATTTAACTCTAATTATCAGGATAGCACCCTAATTTTCCCAAAGATCTCAAAGAAACATCTTCAGGCATTCAATTAAATTGGCAGAGCTTCACTTTAGCAACAAAACATCAACATACGGTCAATAGGCTTTGTCACTGTCTACATCCTTAAGACTCCGACTCTGTTTCCAGGTTGTTGTCTCTGAGTCTGGGACAAACCTCTTTGTCCAGAGACATGTGGCTGAGGGCCAAAGACTTGGAGGCGCAGAGGACGAGTCGGATGGAGCAGCACACGTGTGTCAACGGAAATGAGCCGTGATTACAAAAATAAAACCTTTTTGATATTAAATTTGTAATAAATGTCTTCCACATGCCACAGTTGTTTGCAACGTCTTCTGCAAAAGTTTTAAAGTAAGATTTTATATCAGTGGAATCTTAGTATTAATTGACTGTAGGTAGAGTTTAATGCATAAGGTTTTCTAGACACCAAAAGTAATGTTTTCCTAAACATGTAAATAAAGGGGGGGTCTGGAGGATCATTGGTTTTGTGTTGCTGTGTCTGTCTCTACACTGTGCAGTCATACAGCCTCACTGGTCTCTTGGCAATGAATGCAACCTTGTAGTTCAAGTAACACACTTGGCGGAAAAGAATAAATAGGATACTTTAATGTACAATACAATCTTAATACACTGTGAAAAGAAATGACAATAGTCAGTTGGTAAATGAAGGAGGCGTGACCACGAACATTCTGATGAAATGATGCTATTTCTAGAAAATGCTTTAAAAGTGCAAATCAAATGCTTCAAAACCTCATCACATGACAACACATTGTGTCACACTGTGGGCTCCTACTGGGAGAAAAGGATGACCAATAAATGTAGAGGTTCCTACAAAAGCACTTTCTATAATAATAACATAATGGAGGGATGGAAAATGTCACCCAGCAAACACAGGATTTAACGGTGTCAGCTTTTGCATATAAAAACTACAGAACGGCACAGCGACACTGCAGTCTCTGTGAGGAATGTTGAGGATCACTGCTCCTTTTAGCTGGGTGCTGCCAAATGTTGAACATGTGCATTTCTTTGAGAACTGCTCCAGTGTTAGTATATGTTGAGAGAAACATCAATTTACTCTTTTCATTGAACTTTCATCGCACCTGACGTCTTCAAGCTTTGGCAGCACAAACACACACACACCATCAGCAGGTTAAACAACAAACGTATATGATAATCCAGCAGCCAAGACTACAGTTGCACATAACCGCGGTCAGACACGTCATCAATTATTCCCCATCCCATTTGCTTGTGAGCATAATAAATGCAAGTAAGAAACAAATAAGACAAAATATGAAGAGTTTAACTTTATCTTGAGACATTTCTGTCTGTAGGAAATTGAATGTGTTTCTTTTCATGAACTAATAACTACCTGGTGAAGATTAAACACAACTACTGACGCAAAAATCCTACTTTTAAAGGTTGGTGGAAATACACTGAAACAAAATACTTTACTGCTCTGCACACAGTTCTATTACAGGTCTAAATTAACAACCGTAAGCATTCGTTGCAACAGTGATGCCTTCAAATATAAGAATAAATTAAATTAAATTAAAATAAATTAAATTAAACTCTTACTGTTTTTA